TCCCTAAGGCCATTAAAAAAAAAAAAGAAAGAAAAGAAAAAAGAAAATAAGGAGTCTGGAGTAACTGCGGCCGGTGGGACGGTGGGAGAGAAGCCTCCCTCTCCGGATCCATCGCCCAGCACCACGCCTGTGTGAAGGGATGGGAAGCACTGCCATGGACAAGAAGAAAGATGCCTCCAGCAGCAGGAAAAGCTCCAGCCACAAGAAACTCATGTTGCGAGTGCACATCCCCGTAAGTGGCTCCTTGCTCTTCCTCCCCTTCTGCAGCTGGCCTGGCTTGGGCACTGGGGCATGTTTTTCTCGGGCACGTAGCGCAGCGAGAGGCAGGGAGAGGTGGTTCCTGCTGCTGAGTTTGGAGGATGCTGGACTGGGGGGTGCAGCCCATAGGTCCTCCACATCTGGGGTGGGTGCGTGGGGGCTCCTCCGGGTCTCTGCCCCCCGTGCAGTGCTGGGAGCTCAGGGTGCTCAGGGAGCTCCGTCCGTGGCACAGAGGGATGAGGATAACTCTGGCTGCCTCAGGCTGTGGGCTTGGTTTGGTGTTGCTCAGCCACTTCACACATGGACTCACAGTGCGGTTTAGCGAAAGGTCTGTTCACCCCTCAGATGCTGGTCCCAGGTTTGGCTCTGGGAACTGTCCGTGCCTTGTGGCTGAATCAGTGTTTAATCTGACTCTTCCCTCTCTCAAGACTAATCTACATCTGAATTTCCCAGGGTTGGGGAAGCCAGAGCTTGCTCAGATTTGGACACAAGCGGTCTGTTTGTTGCCAAAAGAGCAGGGACAGTTGTAATGCCATGGTGGAGCAGACTAGTGAGCCATGCAGCCTGTTCACTGACTGTTCTGGTTTGTGTATTCACACTATAAAGAAACATGCGAGAAACTACACTATATAGGTCCAGAATAACCTCAGACCAAAAGTTTCTCTATTCCCAGTGAGTACTAAAAGGCTGGCTGGCTCTGTCTTCAGAGTTTACATGGCTTTCAAAACTTTATTGTTTTTCTTTTACTATTGGGATGTTCTTATTATCTATGTAACTATTGAGTTTTTTATTCTCAGTCATGATGTGCTTTTAGTTTCAGTCCTTCTGGGAAGAAATGGCAGAGTCCCTGTATCTTTTTTCTGCGCAATCTGTGGTTGTTTTTTTTTTTTTTTTTTTTTAAATCTCATTATATAAAAGTGGGAAGCAGTCCTACATGTGTCTCTGCCAGGGCACCAGGGAGCAAAAAGATATTTCTGCTTCTAAGTTTTTCCTTTGTTTTAAGAAAGAATAAGAAGTCAAAGCAAATTTATTAGGTGTCTTGAGTGTATGGAATAAAATGGAGGAGAAATACATGGCTCTTCTGCAGATTTCATTTTTCTCTGGAGAGGAATGCAAGCCCAGGAGCCTAAGCCAAACTTCTGGAGTTCTGAGTGCACTCAGTACTAGGAGAAAAGGGTCTGTTTCTGCTAACATGGGTGTTGCCTATGTGTTTGTGACTGAAATTTTTAGGCAATAATCTTTGCCATGTTACCAGTAATACTTCACGATAGGGATGTAAAATACCAAGAAAATAAAATGTACCACACCAAAGCACCACTCATTCTGTGCACCTTACTCCTTTCCACCCTGCCTGCTGCATTGTCTCTGCCATCTCTTTCCGTAGTCTCCCCACCTCTGCCTCAGTCTAGCCAGGAACTTCGGTGCAGCTGGATCTCCACCACTGTTCCAAGAAGCTGCATTTTCTGCCTGCTGAAGAGCCATAGGGAGTTTGGGAGATGCTGCGGTTGCTGCAGGATTTTACAGGATCCATCTGGTGCTTTTGAAATACCTTCTGACCACCAGATAATTCTGACCACATCAGTACTTACAGCAGTTTTCCCCATTTTATGGTTGTGAAGCTAAGGTGGAAAAAGTGCCAAAGTAACTTGTTCACACTTAAGCATTACTGACAGAGGAGGGCTAATGCTTTTTCCTAATTGCCTCCCTAAGCCCATAGACAACCTTTCTTCACAAGTATTGCCTTAATTCTGTCCTGGATGGAACATCATTAGTAGTGGGCCATAATTTTTCGTGTTCGTTAGTCTCTTGGCTTCTTTGCTATGCAGTTTGTCACCTAGGTAGTGGTAGTTACTCAAATACAAGCCTGCAAATGCCTGATGTCGTGTGGAAGTTGACAAGAGTTTTATTGTTCACCCAGTTGGAAGCAATTCAAGATTTGGTAATGAGATAACACCTTCCATCCCTCCTCTCCATCCCCAAAATATGATCCGTCTGTTCCATTCTGCATCATTCTAGCATTCCTGAAATGGACTATTGGGCCCAGCATCTTTCAGGTTGTACTCACATTTTTGGTGGTTTTCTGTTATCTGGCAGAGTTTAAATATGACTGTGCTATAAGAAAGAACATTTTTCTCATTCTCCTCATTTGACAGTGGAATCTGCATTTGAAAAGATCCATTTAGACTGTTTTTTTTTCTCTTTCATAACGTTTTCTTGGCTGTTGTTTTGCAGCATCGTTCCTATTATTTCAGTGGCGCCTGTCAGTGTAGCTGTAGTTGTCAAGGGAGCTTTCACCAGACAGTAATTTTAATTTTGTTCATCCTCTTCTTTGTTTTGCTGTGAGATCATGTTTATTGCTGAGACATGTAATTCTTGCTCATTGAGATCTTCAAATTAGGAACGAGGGAAGGACTAACAAGGTCTGAGTAGGAGGGGAGAGAGGAGTCAATTTTGAAAGAGAAAGCAGTGGGACAGAAAGGTACTGTTGTGACGCAGGCTATCCTAAAACATATTTATTAGTCACGTAGAAATGCTGACTGAAAAACTAATGACAAATATTGTGCAAAAAAAAGGTACATAATGCAAAATGCACTACAGTTAGGTCAGAGGATTGTGGAATAATAGGCATGTCTGAAAATGAAGTTGTATGCTTTTCTTCCTTCTCTCACATATTTTTATTTTTGAGGTTTGCCTGTGACAGTGGGAAAAAATGGATCAATTTAAGAAAGCTGGGTTTGTGTGTTGCAATGCTCTGGGGCATTTCTCAGGTACATCTTTCTCAAGCAATAACAAGACATGATACAAAAAGTCTGGAAACACTCTATTTTCACCTTCTTTCTGTGCTCAGTCTCCTTCAGCACAAGTGGATGCTGCCCAACCCTTGCTTCTGCGAGTGGTGGTAGACCACTAAGTTCCTGCCAGTTGGGTTTCCTAGCTGCTCACAACTTGTCATTCAGTAGCCAAGAGTAAAGTGAGGGCCACTGTATTCTGTTAGCATGGCAGGGAAGTATTTGCTACATTGCTGGACTGATTGAACAACTTTTTGTTTTGTTTGTTTGTTGTTTTCTTTGCAAATACATAACTGACTAATAAACTAGCAATTTAGATGGACCATAATATAATTGCAGGAGCCTTTGTAAAGTAGAGGGCATATCAGCCTCTGTCTTTCCCAGCAGCACATTCTGAAGCCTTGAAATTAGAGATGCCTAAATGGAAATTTCTGGTCCAAATATCTTTGAAAGCTGCTGCAGATTTGAATAGAAACCTTTGCTCTCTAGATGCATCACATCTGTAATATGAAGACATTAGTGTTATAAAATTCCTTTTTAAGCCATTAGAAGTTAATGCTTGCACATTGCTTTGAACATTTTAAAAACTATTCTAAAATGGGATGCAATTTTCTGCTGAGTAGGAGCTCACAGCAGTGAGATCAGTATGTTCTTTTGTCATCTTGCAAAACTGATCTGTTCTAATATTAATGTTACCATTGTAATCCCGTGTTGCTGGGGAAAAAAAAAAAAAAAAAGGAGAGATTCTACTCTTGCTTACTTTGAATTTCATCTGGGATATTTCAATCAGTGCCAGCGAAGTTATGTTGTGTTTACATTTGCGCAACTGAGGGCAGAACCTATCTCAAGAGTTCCACCGTGGCAAGTGCCAAGCACCTGCTGCTCCCAGCAGGTGGAAATTGCAGAACCTTGGCACTTCCTTGGATTTTTTTCCCAAATGTATCACAAGGTGACTTTTTATTCAAAAGAACAAAGATTTTTTTTCACAATAAGGACAAAAATAACATCTGCAAATGAATATAAAAACATCTTTCAGTTCAGTGAAGTGGCTGTTGCCTCTGGTACTTCAGCCCTGACAGCAGAGTTGATGCACTAGAAGGATGCTTTTGGAGATCATGATCCTTTATTTTCAATGTCACACAAGCAAACAACTCTGCACAATCTCTCCCATTTCTTTGTCAACCTCTACGATTTTGAACAGACTCTTCAATGTGCAAATTTATTGCTGTTTCCAGGCCTGTTGTTATGTCGGGATGCCAGGCTGAAACATCAGATGGCTTAAATATTTCTAACCCGATAGATGACAATGATGTTCTGACAGCTAGTGTTGGCTCAGGCTCTGCCCCTCCATCCTGCTTTCCACACTTGCAAAGTCATTAATGGCTGCATGCCTAATAAATCACTGTGAAATGATTTTGTTCTGTCACAGTTTTTGCAGGGTGCTTCTTGTCTCCTGGTAATTGCTGGATGGGCTGATGAGAACAGCACTTCAGTCTAGGGACCGCTTTAGGAAACTGCAGATGAAGAATAAGCTGATCAAGTCTTTCAAAGGAGATGAGGGAATCAGCTTCCAATGTGATCTAGGAATGAAAAAAATGTTTGTTTTCTTGGGAAAAGGAGGTGGGGGGAGAGGGAGACAGCGGAGAGAGAAATGTTTCCCTGAAATTAAATCTGCAACTGTCCTCCCCCTTGCTCTCATAAGGCAGACTCTGAGTTGTCCTGAGCCTCTGTGGCCTTGAAGTTTAAATTTGGATTCCTCCCTAAAGGGCTGATATGTTAAGGGTCTGAAAGGCAAGAGGTATTTGCTCAGGAGTGTTGAGATTGCACTTTGAATCTATCTGAAGGAAAAAAGAAAGGGTTCATGTTTGAAGTCATAATAGCTGCCACTGTAATTAAGGAAGCTTTTAGTCTTTTTGATTTTAAAGCATAACACAGGCTGATCATCAGCTTTTTGAAAAATACTGCTTCTTTAAAACATCACTTTTTCTGGTAGGAGATTCTGTTCCTAAATTATCTCATCCAACCTCCTTTATTTACACCTGTGAGCCTGTGAGGACTGTGGGCTGAGAGGAATGTGAACTTCCTTGGAGGAGTAAGTCATGAGTGTGGAAGGAACCTCACAGCAATGTGGATGGCGAGACTTTTGGCCTCAGGGAAGGTTACTCACACCGTGCTTGTATTGGGA